TCGGGCTGTGAGGAGGTCCCACGCCGTGGAGAGAGTCCCTGTCGCACCGTGGAGGAGGTGGCGTGCGTGAAGAGGGAAAACTGGCGCTCTGTACGCCCGTGATGCATGTCGCGCTGCGCACCGCAGCGTGAGGAGGGATGGACTACCGTAGTGTGCCAGGCGCTGCGGCATGGCGCTGGTCATCGCGGCGCGGGGTAGGCGTGGAGGTCTGGGAGCTCGAGCCTGACTGCATCACCTTGCGTTTTGTGTTCATTCAAGCTTGTTTGGAAACCGAATTCGATTCTGTTTTTTCCTGTGTGAAGCCAACACATCCTACTACAAATTAAGCTCGCCAAAAATATTTTTCTCCTTCAAATTATAATCTATCAATGCATCTGAACTGCACACCACAAAAGACGAGAAAAACGTAGGAAATCGAGAAACAACCGAAAAACACAGAATAGACTCATGATAAGGGAAAACACAAAATAAACTATGAAATGAACCAAAAACCAACTAAAAGACCTAATATGGAGGAAAAAGAAAAGTAAAATGACAGCGAAAAGTGCAACAATAATGGAACAAACACGCAACGACCCCAAGATGACCCCGATGAGGCGATTTCTGATGAGTGAAAAATCATACGATCTCCATCAATCGAAATTTACAACATCTCAGAGTCTGTAAAATTTTGAGCCATAAGTCTTCTACCTTAACCTATAGGTCCAATGCTCATAGGTTAATACATAGATAAATTTGTAACTTGCACATTAACAACGATTTTTATAGATCCCAACAAAATGCATGTTTGTAGTTTATTTGTGCGAACATAGTTTGTTTATTTTACATTGTAGATAATAAGGTTCAATGTGTCGAACATAAAGATCATATTATCAGTGTCTTGTAAATATAAATTAATTATTCACAACCCAGAAGGAATTGAACTAATTGTCGTGAAAGGTTGTAGTGTGATTTTGAACCAATTGGTCTTTGACTGATGAGTTACACTAGTACATCTCAAATGTATTGCGCAGACCTGCTGAGGATAAGATTATCTTATACTGACCAAGTGAATAATCTAGACCTCAGTAGTTACGTTCTCTTAATCTGTAAGATAATTATAAACATACATATGTATTCGGAACCTGCTTATTTGATTTACAAAGGGCGAGGCTTATTCTGGTAGACCGATAGACTTCGTATTTTAGTACGTAAGTGTCGAGTACCTAATGTATTGTACAAATTATTTATGGTCACCGTGTCCCATACCACTGGCTGATTACGTCTCTGAAATTAGCTCAGGAATGTTTATTATGTCAAGCCCTGCAGGCAGAATTTGTTTCCGGCATAATGAGAATAAAATGAGTAGTACTAGTTTCAGAGATAGATGTTGATTAATTAATTTTTCACTATCTAAATTAATCGACGAACGTTAGATCTTAAACTTACGGACGCAA